TAAACATATAGCTTGATCATTGATTAATATTGGTGGAGCTAAGAGGCTTATACTGTATATTCCCAATAACGAACATAACTAAACGTATTACGCTGTTCATAAGAATGTTATTGTCAAATTTTAAATGAAATCTTCCGCTCACTGAATAAAATACAAATTAAGTACAATAATTACAGATTTATCGAGATATCAAAACTTATACCAATAATCTTTTCCCGTTTTAGTAACTATTATTTAAAGAAAATACTTTAACTACAAAAAAATAGTTACAGCCTTAAACAAACAAGGCTCTGTACTAAAGAATGTTATTGTCAGGTTTCACTCAAAGTCTCTCGTTTTTAATTCAAATAAAATTGAAATAGAACATTTTACAGACGTAGTAAAATATTATGACTGATAACAATTATATTTTACGTTCCACCAACTATAAGAATCGTAGTAACTCCTTCACCAAGGAACAAAGTAGTTACAGCCTTGATCTCCGTCTTTTCCTTGCAACGTTTTCATATTTACGAGACGCGGAAGCAATGAGTGGTTTTATAATATTACTTGGTTATTACATCGCATCAATGTTGTCCGTTTTAATTCCTCCTTTGCTCAACGCTACGTGCCAGAGCTCCTGTAAACAGAGGCCTTGAAGCACGATTTAGAATTACGTAACTGACTCATCGCGGAAGGATTAGCTGGAGAGGAATGACCTGGAACAATCCATTGGAGAAATTTATTGAGCTATAAATAAAGTATGTTTGTATTATTGTAGAAGTGGGAAGCGAGCTGGTCTAGTGGTAGAGCTCGGGGCTTCGGAGCCTAAGGTACCGGGTTCAAATCCCGCCAATCACCTGTGTTTATCTAAGTGATAATGCCACCCTTTAGGACTAGCCTGAAGTAATGTGTAAACAAGTTTCGAGCTTGAAATAGCGTCCTAGGATCGGAGTTGGGACAAAAGATATTGTTAAGGTACATGTAGGCTAGGTAACATAGACAAAAAGAATTAAAGCAGACCATCAGCCGTGAAGCGGTTACTATAGGTTCTTGCGTACACCGCTGGGAGTACCATGTAGTTACGGCGTACGCGCTACGTAACTACACGGCGCTCCCAGTGGTGTGCGCCACAACCTATGGTAACCGAAGCACGGCTGACAGTCTATACAATCCTTTGTATCCTTGTGGTTTCCTCGTGATCGGAGGTACAAGTTCATTTGAAAAGACTGCTAGGTTTATGAGTTTTGACTTTTGTGCCTATCATTGTAGTATTGTAGTTGTAGTTGTTAACATTTAAAAATATACATAGTGTCCCTAAGTTAACAAGCAAAACTTTGGAAAGTGGGTTATTTGTAAAAAATACGTAAAATCTTACTGACACAACATAAAATCGTTCATATTGCGTACAAATAGTTTATTTTGTTGAAAAATACAATTCTCATAGACAATAAAGTAAAAGTTCAGGTGATAAAACACTAATTATAAACTTGTTTGAAACAATATCTTTGATGACAGGACAAAAGTAGACAAACTAGAAGTTATCTCTAGTTGAAAAGTATTAGAGTCAATCCACCAAAGAAGGAACTATAACGGCAGCAGATTATATCTAATTAAATTACCTTCGGTAGTTTCTAACTCTCGAACGAGTGAAGACTTTAATCGAGTCAGTGTAGAATAATTGTCTAACTTATATCGGATCCGAACTTTACCGATCTCAGATATTAACTATCGAATGTTATGAGGAGAATTTTCAACTACGTTTATCCGATTTATAACTTTGATTATAATTGTTTTTTTTTAACCGTGCCGATATTTAGAACCTTTTTTGGGACCAAATATTTTTAAATAATAACTTTTGTAACATTTTATTTTATTTTATTTTGTCTACAAATTATACAATTATTTGCAGTTTTCTTTCAAAATTATATCGAAACATAATAATTTATTCGAAACACAACATGAAATTTTTTTTTATTTAAGAACTAAACTTATCATTTCGAAGTATTTGCTTCCATTTTGTGTTTCTAACGACACTTCCTCGAATCATTAAAAATAAGTTGTAATAACTAGTTTTTTTCTCCTTTTTTGTGTTACAATAAAAGTATACAAGTATTCCATTTTAGATTGTGCTACAAAACTTAACTTTCTTCAACGATGAGTTATGTTTTGTTATTTTTGACATTTTCCATTTTTTATTGAATGTGTTAATCATTTTCAACTTTTTATCTTTTGAAAAGATAATATGTTACGCAAGTGATTTATAGATGATTATTTACATAAACTAATAAAAAATAAGCACATATCTAAGTATCAGTCTGTGTCTATCAGATTTTTTAAGCCTTTATGTAACCTACTGTAACTATATCATGTTGTATACCTCTATGTAAATAAACATTTGCATTGACAATAATCATATTTTCAAAATTCTGGTTCAAAACTGATTTGCTAGTTACAACATCTGTTCCTTTATGACAAAAGGGCATTTTTGTTGGGCATTTATGAAACTAAGCTCTTTACGAAAACTAAAGCAGGATGGATTATAAACTCTTTAACTAAACACACTTATATACTTTTCTTCAACTAGTAAACGGAACATAGCACTATTTACATCTCGATTTTATTACTGTACTTGAGAAGGTGAATTCTGAAGAAGTATTCGGTAATTGGATCGCTAAATGGACTGGATAATCGTAATGCTGTCGATCGCTCCACGATAAACGATAAACGACAAACGACCAACGGGCTTACGTGGATGCATCAACGATAAAACGAGGAAGTGATCGTTAGACTGTTCCGGTATGCATAAACTCAATTTCCCATCCTGAGTTGATAAAGGAAATCAGTCGTTGATAGTAAATGAAGTGGAAATCTTGATCTAGTCTAGTCTTAGTTGAAAGAGATTGGTGTAGTCTAATTTTATTTTTATATTGAAAATATTCTTAGTGTACATTAATCTATATTTAAAGACAATTTAAATATTATATAGTACAACATTTTTGTTTGATGTGTTAACAAATCTTAACCCATCTAAAAGCATAGACATGGCTTTTGTGAAAAAGCAAATGGTGAGATGTTATCGGTAATAAAAGCCAGTTATTGAATGGTTAATACCACATTGAACTATTAGTTTCGATTTAGGAGGGGTTAAAATTGATTCATATATTTTGAGACGAATCAGATTTCTCTATTGTTATATCATACACAAAAGAATAGGTGGATTGCAGTATATTGAGACACACACGACAAGAAAGAAAGAGTTTCTAAAACCTTAAACATTCTTAACTGTTTTCCTTATCTTTTCATACCTTTACCAATTTATTTCCCTCGTACATAAAGTTAATGTGAAACACAGAAATTATTTAATAACATTGCTTATTACGTAGTATAGCAGTATTATTTATTTATTATGATTACATTTAAGATCAACACAGAAAATTAAACTGCACGTTTCAATAAAGACTTAACTACTCCTAAATTTGTATAAGTTTACTAACGGCGTCATGTTACAAAATATACAATTTCTCTTGACTGTACGTATTCCTATATTACCTAGGTATTAGTGTTTTACATTAAACAAAATAATGGGCTGCTATACTCATAAAATTTCAACATGGATTTGCTATAGGTTATGAATAGATTTTTTCACATTATCAAATATTAGTTATTTTAGCTGATTTCCCATATAGGGATTAATGAATAGACGCTTAGATTCTTAACCACGATGAAAATGGGAGCTGTTAGTTTTGGAATATATAGAATGACGTTTATATCCAACCATCCACTTAGATTGTTATCAAGGAAATACCGGAGCCTCAGCAGTCAGGTGTAAGCAGCGGAGATGTTAAGATAAGAGTCGACAGGAGGGATAAGTGCCCTGGAATTTTCTAGGATATTATAGCGACACGAGTTCCTGGAAAATCGACGAAAATAGGTGTTTAGAGAATTTCTAGTCTCTAATGTTTTACTAACTTTTTATGAATGGTCTGCTGGAGGGTAAAAATTAATTTTAAATGTTTAATCACCAACTATTTCAATTTCTAGAGTCGAGGAACTTCTTTAAAGTGAATGTAAAATTATTATATTAAATTCAATATTTTTGACATAATGAGATGTGCAATTGCTTCTTTACTTTGTATGCATAATTTAATTATGACATTTGTTTTTCTTCTCATTTCCACATGTATGAACGTTTTGTATTTTTAGATTATCCAAGAATTAATAAAGGTGTTGAATACAATTAGTTTTTTTTTATCATGTCACGACTTGTTCTCCGTACAACAATTGTTCAAAGGCACAATATTTGATTTGCTTGTCATTTCCTCATGTATCAACATTTCGTCTTTTAAAATTATATTTTATTTGTAATATTTGTGTTTTTCAGTTCTTATTAATGAATATTTTTATCTGATCGCCTTAGCGTTGCACTGGTCCTTCAGGAGGCTATTTTTTTTTAGATTATCCAAAAATTAATAAATGCGTATAATTTATTACAATTACAGTTTCATTAAATCATGTCACGACTTTTTTTGTCCTCCATACAATTGTTTAAAGGCCCAATATAGAAGTTGGTCCTTCGAGCCGGATGGCTATTGACCCCAACCCTACGGGTTATTTATTTATTGAGATAACCACAGTCTATCGATGTAGTTGTTATTAAAAATACGGGTGTTTGTCATCGTGTCATTATTAGTTTATTGATTTCCAAACAAGTTTTATCTGCTTAACTTAACATTTAGTCCCTCGAACCGGATAGCTCTCGATCTTAAATTTTGAAAACATTATCTATCGAAGGAAACTTTCTCGTTCCTCATTTGTGCAATATTTTTTTCACATCCCAAAACCCAAACTACAATTGTAAAAGAAACTTATAGCAAACAAACCAAAACAAAAACCAGTTTTCGCAACCGGTTCCTCCAATGTTTCGGAACAGTTTCAGAACGCAGTGAGAAAATACAACCAAAACATTTTAATTCCAATCTAGATGAACGTGCATGACGAGCTAGTGTCAACAACAATACCTGAGGTAAAAGTTAATCCACAGTCTGGAGGCACTAGACACAATCACTTCAAGACACAGACACCAACTGACGGGACTCCGGTGAAGTACGGTCGACGGCCGACAGGTGGCAGCACAGCTCCCTTCCACGTCCTTGGACATCCGCCCCGTGGCGCAAAAAACAGTCTGAAGCCGTCTCCAGGATGACAGGTTGTTGACTTTTTAGATGTTTTGGATCGCTGTCTTTTACCTTGCTTCCCATTCCATTTCTTGCTAAGAATCCAAAGACACTAGAATATTCGACTGATTGCTAACTTTATAGAAGCTGTTTAGGATCGTTGGCCTTAACTTTACTCCCAATTTAAATCTTCGACAAGAATCCATTAATGCACTATGTTAGCATTGGTCAGTTTGGTGTTTTGGAACTTATTTCATTACTTTACACAACTAAGCAACTTTGAGATATTATAAGCCTCTGGTTGAGAAAAACAATCTGTTCATAGATGTCTCAAATTGTTGTTCATTACGATGCCCTTACCTTAAGGGAGTTCTAGTGAACAAAAAAAGGTTTATCATAATCCATTGTCAGTACCACTTCTAACATTATTTTCATACCACACACAGTTAGTTAGATGTGTCATATTATAATTCCATTAATTTATTTGCTTCCCTGGGGACAAAATAACGCCTGTAGCAATTTTGAACGCCTGGAGGTTGATAGAGTGTCGTAGGTCGTATTTTAATTAGCTTTCTATTACTTATACCCTTAAAAGAATCATTGTAAATAAATATTTTAAGACCGAGCTCGGATTTCGTAATCGTTACCGAGGTTGTTTAATACAAAATTGCATAACCGAAACTTGGATTTGATCAATGAATGCCATGTTCAATGCCACTATCGTAACATTGTTTGTGGATTGGTAGCATATAATCCACAAACAATGTTACGATAGTGGCATCAGAGTATATTTATTTATACCAACTTGCTGTTAAGTGACGTTAAGACATTATTGGATGAATTTTACGTCGTATGGTGCAAAAAAACTGTCTAAAGCTTCAGTGACTAATATACAGTATTGCTAAAATAGTAGGGAATGTTTTAGGTTATTTGCAATCATCTTTTCCCTCTTATAAATTCAGGTGCTGGATCTGAATTTATCATTAGTCTTAATATTTTTAGAATGTTGAGATGTTGTACATTTACTAGTAGAATATATTTCCGTAAAAGTCCAATTTAATTTGGTGCAGGTATTTTTGCATTTGGGAAGACGGACAGAGACCTTAATTTTGTAATTGTTTGGATAAAGAAAGATGGGTGACCTAATAACAACATAAAATAAGACCGATCGGTTCCACAATTGAATCAAATTAAACTCAATGCTCGGTTCGCTAAATAAAATTGTTGTCTCTATCGTTTCATTACCTTTAGAAATCTACCATGTTTTGTATACACTTTTTTATTGTTAATACTTAATATCTATTTTAATTGGGATAAAAGAACAAACTACAGCGTGGTAAAAAATGGTAGTTCAAGTTACATTGCATGGGTGATTTTCAAATGCTGCATGTAACAATAAACTCTTTCTATGTCTTACTGCGGTAATTATAGCCATGAAAATCATGCTTTTTGTACATAAATGCCAGAACAACGCTATAGAAGGGCAATTAAGTAATAAAATCTCCAGTAATAAGCCCTTCGGATGAAATGCAACAAAAGGATTTTATAATTGAGCCTTTTTTATCGACATTGTGGATTGTAAAGTCTTTGAAGTGTTCCTTTTATACACGAAACAACTACAGTAGGTTCACACTGATCGTTGACGTGTAATTTAATACTGTGCAAAACTGTGTTTATATATTGTGAGTTGTTTTTATTTGTAATCGTACTCTCTAGAACATTACGAAGGTGAACCAAATACATTTTCCTACAGTCACCCGACAAAGTTGGCTTCCTTGTACTGTTTATAGTACAGAAAGCTGCTAATTGCTGCATATTTATACTTTGCCGTACGGTTTATACTTTGTCGTACGGTTTATACTTTGCCGCACATCAGGATTCCAACGAAACAACACAAAACAGCGTGGTTCTATTATGCACGTAATCAGTGTACGCTTGGAAATAGGTTGGCAACACTTAAAGATAATAATACTATAAGCAGCTGATTGACTATTATAACTACGATTTAACCTGTCATTTCGTGTTTATCGTTTCGGTATTTCTGAACTTTCTGGACTTTTCTTTTAAACGTTTTTAAAACATTCCTACGATCTTAATAAACAAGAAAATACCTTTAAAGCATTTTTTTAGGCGCGGAAACCACTTCAAATTACAAAAACATACGGAACTATATTCTCAAAAACGCGGAGCACATTTCTTGCCGAGGAAAAATAGCGGAGTGATACGGACCGCGGGTACTACTTTCTCTAGGGCACCATTTGTGTTGCCAGCTGAACCTAAAAACGTGTTGAATGAAAGTCTAATTATTTATATGCTTTATAGTGACTGTAGGAAAAATATAATGTTTAACACGAGTGAAAAAGGCCTTTGCTGCACTCGAGATCATTTCGCACTCGCCTGCGGCTCGTGCGTAAACATTGCTCTCGTGTGCAGCAAAGTGCCACTTTCACCACTAGTTACACAAATAACTATTTTAGGAAAACCTACAGACTCATTTGGATAAAATTTAACGAAAAATGTCGTATGCAGTAAGGTTGGTGGCTTTGATTACTAATTCAATATTTTAATGTTGTTTAAATTCTTTTTGGGCAACTATAATGTTTTTTTGTTTAATTATTTTACAATTGGTAGACCTCCGACAGTAATTATGTTGAATAAGAGCTTGGTTAAAACATTCTTAATGTAAAAACCACAATCTACTTTTCCTATGCAATGAAAAATACTAAAGATGTAATTGTTAAAATCTTTGGGTAGGTTAAATTTTTTTATTTTAGATACAGAACTGTTGTTTTAGTTTATTTGCAACATTTTACTTTTACTCTAGGATGTTTTTATTTGGTTTTGAGATTTTGTCGCATTTAACAGAAGATAAAATAGTATATTACGTACCTAGGGCCAAAAATGAGGTTTTGCTGGCTCGAGATATTTTTTTTAGTTTGAGACTAAGTCGATGCCTTAAAACGATCGAGAGCTGCAAAACCCTTTCGGCTCGTGGTACGAACGCCTATTTTTCTCTACACTATACAAAATTGAGATAATATTTACAGTAAGTGATTTACACTGATAGTTAATACAACATTAATGCTCTGTGAATAAATATTTAGAGGAATCAGTAAAAATAATAATAAATCGTTCCTAGGCACCGGTGACAATAAACAAGTCTATTCCAATGCATATTGCTACTGCTTCTGTAGGTTAGGTTAGTGGAAAAAAGGTAGGTAATCTAAATGTATATTAAATTAATGTTTTCAGTAAATAAGCGAACAAATGATTTTCGGCCCTAGGGCCGCCAAAACCTACTCGGCCCCAAAATGACAATAAAAGCTGTTATTTCGACCCTGAACAGCAATACGTAGCTTCCAGTCTCCAATTAACGTCTGTAAATTGGCTAAAAACGTGTGTTGACAAATCTAATGCCTGGACTAAAAGATAAAACATTTTGTCGTGTGTAGTGTTGCGTGCAGTCATCGAAAGACTCCGTTTAACTTCCGCAACTATGTTACTCTGCCGTTTCCCCAGAATTGCAGATCACCGTTACTCATGGAAACCCCAGGTGACATGACTGTTCTCACTTTCCAGTTCCGCAGGCGCGGCTGTCGTCTGTCCAAGGGTTGGGCTTCGTTAACCACTTTCTTCAGTTTCTTTCCGCTCTGACGGTCACGGTTTCCGGAGCGTTTGGTCTTAAAAGTCACTAAACGCTTTTTCCTTGCGGTAGTTAAGTCTGTTGTTTACTTGGTTATCAAGGATCATTATCTTAGTTTGGACTATTGAATACTGAAGTATAATTCACATCTATATGGATCAGCTGTCACAAATATTTATAAAAGAAAAGAACATTTTTGAGAGGGCCAAACAGAGATTTCGCTATTGTATAAATTTCTATATTTACGCTATATTATTTTGCTGACTTATTTAATGGTAAACAACAGTTGCTACAGCTAATAAGTCGTTCCATCAGATTGAATTGGTAAAAAAGTATGTGTATTATACTGTATAGAAATTTATTAATTAATTAAGTCTTTTTAAATATTTAACAATAAAAAGTTATGATAAATAAACAAATATATTTATAACTTTGGGATAATGTTATTGAGTTTAAACGCGAGTACGTACAGTATATTACAAAGGCATTCTTTTGAATGTTTGTGAGCAAATCTCTTTAAACCTTTGTTCATAATCAAGGTTAACTCTACTTATACCTATGTTACTTATTAAACATGTTAAACACTAGTTTGAGGAAATAAAACTAACCAAATCTAACTTAAGCCCATCGAATTTCTGCTTTCTCTCTGGTTTTAAGTAGAAAACCTTTAAACAACGTTGTATTCCCAAATGTATTTGGAAATAAATCTTGGACAGAAAACAGATGCAATGTCATGTATCCAAAGTCAATGTTTTATCTGACTAAGTAACTGTGTTTTAAAGTTCATACGTGAAGTGAAACTATTTTAATTTTAGTTCAATGAACTTTTCTTACGCTGAGTGTTTAACTTAAACAAACTTATTAAAGAATATTGATGGTTTAAGTTTTAGAGGCATTTTGATTTTGTATATTGTTATAGGTAATATAATCAGAAAGTAAAATCTATTTGTGGAAAAAAATAGGTAGTTCAGGATGGATAGGGTATTTAGGTAAATTTAGATAATATTTAGGTCACTTGATAATGTAAAGAGTTTCCTTATAACCCAGAACGTACTGTAATTAATTACAACTATTAGCGAAGAAAAGTCAATCGATTAAGTAAGCTAAAATGGGTCAAGTTTCCAATATAAATACATTCTATACATAATTTACATATACAGTACATAGGAAACACCAAAATAAGTTAATTTATAATTTTCTACCTTTTTAACATGAAGATTTTTATCCATTTATTTAAGAAATGTATCCATACAGTTACATTGAATGCATTTA